TATCCATTCAAAATGGTATTGCTTTCTAGATATTGATTGGATAATCCAATTTAAATTGCATTAATTGTATCATGCACATTTAAATATCGTTGGTGTATACATGTAATTGAAATATCCATTCATTTACCAGTGTACACATTTATGGTTCATAATATTGTGATCATTTATTTAGAAAAGACCCCTTTTCTCTCCTTAAATGAAATTATAAAAAGGTGAAACACATGTTTGCTTTTGCTTTCCTCAAGCAATATAACTCTGAAAGCTTAGGGTATTTTGAAAAAATGTTTGAAATCTAGATGTATTAAATAAATTATTTGCAAAAAATGTATGTTAGATACAAGAGCTTGAAAAAGTTCTCAATTTACATATATCTAACTTACAAATGTCTGTATTTTTTACGTTTAATTTTTCATTTGTTATATGTATGTTTTTTATTATTGATTATTTTCATTTTATTTATTTTATTTTTTGAAAGGTATTCGTTTTATCAGTATTAAATGCAATGAAATGAAAGTAATGCGTTGTTCACTTTTTTCAAGCCGGTCCAATTTCGTTGGTGCTTAATTCCGTTTACACCGGTTAGAAAACTACATAAGGAAACTCCTAAAATACGGGTGAAACCGATTTTAAAATTGAATCGATTTTATTGGATAAAATCATGTACTATTTGATGACGTGTTGCTAGTTGTAATAGATGATTGGTCAAGTTTCATGCAACTGAAATCGGGGTTTTTACGCCACGCATCACGACTGCTTGCTGTGAGGCAATATATAAAGACGCCTATTCCTGGCTTTGTGAAATTGTTTTACGGTATTTTAACTGTGTAATAGTTACAAAACATAGTTTAATATGTGCATGGGTCAACTAACTTATACATACTCGTTGTAATGGGAATAATATTACATATTAGTCAACATTTAAATAAAATATTTACAAAACGTGCTTGGTGTCACCATTGAGCGTACGAGTTCACTCAGATTTCAAGGGGAGGTAACTCGAGTGCAATGCACAATAATGTTGCGTTTCCGTGTTCATATTTTGCCCTAGTTGTACTGAATCTGAGTTCGGATTGTGAGTACATATATGCAAGGGGAAAAGAGATATACAAAGGGTAACAATCAACTAGTACCCCTCGGTAGATACACAGTGGGTAACAACAGTATATAGTGGGTTAAACGGTACACTGAGTGGGTCAAGCAGCTTAATAGTGGGTAACTGGTACAGAATTGGTAGCAACAGATACACGGTGGGAAACATCAGGTTTGCTGTTTGTCACGACAAGAATACAATGGATGCCGGATATACAATGCCATATATGCTATACAGAGTAACAGGTTAAACCGATATACATTGGATAACAATAGACATATAATGGGTAAGGTGTTTTGCGTAAAATGGTTGTAAGGATATATATGTCAAACAGATTTTGAGGTCGACGATGCAATATAATTTTGTAACTTTTCACGAAATCGAATACTTAAACATGCTTTCTAGCCTATTATAATGTTATGTTTATATTTCAGAATATCTCAAAAAAAATTTTAAATTAATTATTTCACGACCTTTCGACCTCGCTTCACCTATAAAGCTAAATTCATACTTGTTAGAAATTTGGATCCATTTCATAAATATTCCAAACATAAAACACTATTTGGAAAGCCCAGCATTGAAGGAGTTTGGTCATATAGGTAAGGTCATAAATCTTTTAGCACGTGCTATTACGTGATCTAGTAGGCACAGGTGATCAGATTCCCTTTACATTTTAATTCTTATCGTACGGGTCAGCATTTAACAGTCTGACCATAAGTGCACAGAGACAACTCTTTTGAAACAATTTGATATCTAAGTCCAAGACCGTTTTCACTCCGTGGTCAATAATGCTTTAACAACCATCTGGTTTCTACGGAAGCGTATTCCGGCCAGGTTTGTTTTATTTTAACTCGAAATTCGATTTGCTATTTCTAAATTTCGAGTTGCTATCTCAAAATGTCGCGTTGCTATCTCGTAGTTTCGGGTTAATATCTCAAAATTTCGGATTATTAACTCGAAATAACAATAATGAGTTGCTATCTCAAATAAAACACAACGTGGCCGGATAACGCTTCCGTAGGTTTCCTTGTCCATACCGTGTGGTGCGTGAGCTTGTCCCTTTTTTGATGGCATTTGTTTAATAATGACACTAATACATGTACAGCGGCTGTTAAATGAAAGGTTAAACATTGCTCATATGTATTCAAAGTCTATACAATGCATGTTCTTCCAAATTGGTATTTTTGTTGGTATGGTACTCTAGATTGTACAAAATACACATAAACGATTAGTACCTTTTTCATACAAAAAAATAGTGTTAAGAACTACACCATACAACCGTTTCGTCCACTTACTTACTAGTGATGCTAGATTTTAAAGCCTGAAAGGCGACCAAAATGACCGAAAGAAATGTCAAAATTTAGATGGAAGGATAATTCATCGCCATACTTAAATAAATTCAGTACTTTTTATAAATGTGATATTTTTTAGAATGTGAATGTGTATATTCTAAATCGTGCATGAGTCATTGTAAGCATCTTAAAACGATATTTCTTTTATTAATATAAGGTAATATAATTGTTCAAATGAACGGATTGCAGATAGACAGACAAATTAATCAAAGTAAGTATCACGTATTTATTCTAAATATTGTCAAGAATTTAAAACAAAAACCTTAAAGTGTAAAGTCAATGCTAAAGATTGGATAAGGCCTGGGATAAATATATCGTGAAAATGGAAATTGCAGAATAAATTCTGTTTATCGATATATAATCCTAAATGACCTAAAATAGTGAACGTCGTTTAAACACATCTTATCTCTTGACTAAGATAAGCATATCGTATAAAGGACATGTCCTTATCTACAACAGACATTACCGGCACTCATCAAATCAAGGTAAGACGAGGCGGACTGCTCATTTGGGTCTTTGGAGTGTTTTTGCTAAAATTTGGTTTCCGAAATTTTTATTATTTGCACCGATGTCACTTTTCCCCAGTTGGTAAAATTTGAACATTATCAACATTTTTTTAATATCTGTTATCTAAAACGCTCGACTTATTATCTAAACGCTTTGTTGGTGCATTTAAGTTTTGTGTGGTGGTTGTTAACTACATCTCATTCTTCAGATTTGATATTTTGGCATGTTTTATAGTTGTTCGCCTTCTCTTTGGTACATTTTGATAATGTGTGCTGATGTTTCCATACAATACACTGTTTTGCGCTGGTGTTTTGCTATATTTTTATGTGCTGATAATTTGATACATTCTATTATGTTTTGATACACCATGCAGTTATGTGTGCGATTTCCTTGTTTCCTTGTATATCATGTTCATGTTTTTCTGTTCCAATAGTTTCGTTCATTTTTTGTAAGATGATGTTTTAGTACATAACGTTTTGTGCCGATGTATGAGATGATTTGATATTTGTGGTGATGTTTTTACTACACTTTATTGTTATGTGTTGACATTTTGATACATTTTTTTGTATTTTTACACATTTTGATATTGGGTGCTGATGTTTTCGTATATTCTGCTGTTATTCGCCATTTTCGTACATTTTGATGGTGTGCTTCCATATCGTCATCCATTTTGCTGTTTTGTGATACCATTTAGATACCTCGTGCTGTACATGCTGTTACATTTTATTGTATGCTGATATTTTGTCACATTGCGGTGTTGAAGTTTTTTTTTTTTTTTTTTGGAACATAATGTTGTTTTGTTGTGATGTTTTCTTAAATAATGTTATTTCACATATATTTTTTGTCGCTATGTGCTGTTAGCGTCGTTCCTTTTTTTGGTTATGATGATGTTTTAGATCATTATGTTGTTGTGTGTTGACATTTTGGTACATTATGATATGTGTTGATGGTTTGTTGCCTTTTGTTGTGCACTGATGTTGTGATACTTTATACGGCTGTGTAGTGATATATTGGTACCTTTCGTCACTGTTTGCTTTGTTCGAATAATTACTTCATTTTGTTACTGTGCCCTGATGTTTGCTACATTTTGTTACTGTATTCTGATATTTGCTACATTTTGTTACTATGTTCTGATGTTTGCTACATTTTGTTGTTGTGTTCTAATATTTGCTACATTTTGTTACTGTGCTCTGATGTTTGCTACATTTTGTTACTATGTTCTGATGTTTGCTACATTTTGTTACTGTGCTCTGATGTTTGCTACATTTTGTTACTGTATTCTGATATTTGCTTCATTTTGTTACTGTATTCTGATGTTTGCTACATTTTTTTTAATGTATTCTGATATTTGCTACATTTTGTTACTATGTTCTGATGTTTGCTACATTTTGTTACTGTGCTCTGATGTTTGCTACATTTTGTTTCTGTATTCTGATATTTGCTACATTTTGTTACTATGTTCTTTTATGTTTTGGTACATTTTGTGACTATGTTCTGATATTTGCTACATTTTGTTACTGTATTCTTATATTTGCTACATTTTGTTACTATGTTCTGATATTTGCTACATTTTTTTTAATGTATTCTGATATTTGCTACATTTTGTAACTGTATTCTGATGTTTGCTACATTTTGTTACTATGTTCTGATGTTTGTTACATTTTGTTACTGTATTCTTATATTTGCTACATATTTTTTATGTATTCTGATATTTGCTACATTTTGTTACTATATTCTGATGTTTGCTACATTTTGTTGCTGTGTTCTAATATTTGCTACATTTTGTTACTATGTTCTGATGTTTGCTACATTATGTTAATGTATTCTGATATTTGCTACATTTTGTAGCTGTGTTCTGATGTTTGCTACATTTTGTTACTGTGTTCTGATTTGTTTTGGTAATTGCTACTATATATTAAAATATATGGCTTTGTTTCTCGTTTGTATAATGTTGTATATTTTCTAATAAAACATACATGTATGCATGAGAAGTGGCATTGTGATTTGTGTTAATTACTGATCCCGATCGTTCAACTATGTATCCTTTTCAGATGCTTGCTTCCCTTGCCCTGCTTCTGGCCATAGCGGCCGTCTGTTCCGCGACACACACCTTTCACATTGAGAACCACTGTTCCTACGATGTGTGGGCCGCCGCTTTCGGAAACAACGGTCAGACACCGCTACAAGGTATGGGGCCGTTTTCATCGCTTCAACCTATGACATCTTTACACCACTGTAAAGGTCAAAGAAAGGTCATGATATAGGTCAGTTATTGGATACCTGAACCATACCATGGCCCTATAACTGACCGTTACATGTGCAGAATCATGGTATAGTTACGGAACAGGGTTATGGATCCGAATCGCGATACAGGTCAGGCATAGAGTCATGACATTGGTAAAGTCAAGATCAGTTGAATGGCAATTTACAGATTGCGTATAGGTCCGGTATAATGTCATGTATAAGTTAGGTAATAGTTAGGTATAGGGTCATGTATAGGGAAGGTAATGCTTAGGTATAGGGGCTTGTTTATGTTAGATAATGCTCTGGTAAAAGGAAAGACTTGTTAGGTATTTGTAGTGTAGGATCATGAATAGATTAAGTAATGGTTTTGGTATAGTGTCATGTATAGGCTAGGTAATGGCGTGGTATAAAGTCTTGTATAAGTTAAGTAATTGTCCGGTATTGAGATGGCCGGGGTAATGGTCAGGTAAAATAGGGCCATATCATAGAACCGGTATATGCCAGGTTACGTATATGACAGGTACAGGTCATGTTGAGGAGTGATATCTATTTTGTATAAGTCAGGTATAGTGTCAGAGTAATGGTTAAGTGTAAGATTATGGCGTAGGTCAGGTAGAAATCGGGTATAGGTTGGGAATTGAGAAAACAAAGGTGGTTTAGCAAGCATGTATATTTTTTATGGTTGGGAAATTGGATTCCGTACGCCTAAATGAAATGCTTCTGCGGTATGCTATGCATAATCTGTTTTCATATCCATTTTAGGTGGGTGGAAAATGCGCCCAGGTGACCGTACTTCGTTTAATGTGATTGATCGGTGGAATGGACGTATTTGGGGGAGGACTCACTGTACGGAATCTGGACAGTGCCAGACCGGTGATTGTGGAGGTCTGCAATGTAATGGCCGTACAGGTAGACCCCCAGCAACGCTGGCAGAGTTTACACTGGACGCTTATGGAGGGCAAGACTTCTACGATCTGAGTCTGGTAGATGGCTTTAACCTGATGATGAGTATCATTCCCGATGCCGGAACATACGACACCAGTCATCACGGGCAGTACTACTGTGCAAGGGCGGGATGCTACTCCGACCTGAACAGTGGTTGTCCGGGAGAACAGCAGGTACGATAACTCCAGAGGTCACACAACGTCGTGAAAACGTAACATCAAGACACGACGTCGCATTTAGGTCGTTGTAACGCGATCATGGCAACCATTGCCGACAAATAACAAAGTAACACAAAGTTTTCAAAATTTAATATATACTCTCAATGAACCATGTTTTACATTCAGTCGGGTCTATGCCTATATCCATCTGATTGGACGTCACTGTATTAAGCCAACATTTCTGTTATCAGCAAGTACAGCGAACATTTTGAATTTTGATGATGAACACACAGAAAATTGCAATTATATTGATCCCAGAAGCGACCCGATTCATCATCGCAGGAACTCGACCAAAGCCAGATACAATGCTTGTATTTCAGTTAAGGCAGTTGGTTTGTAATATCTTAAACATATCTACACTTACCAGAACTTGTGCAAATGTTATGGATTGAGTTAAAGGATATATTCCAACATTTGAGAGGATAATCCTACAATAGTAGTCAGGTAAATTAAGAATATGCGACACATTTAGGTATTTCAAAAAATACAAAACGACATTACGAAATTGCAATAATTATTTTTTTCAAGATATACTTAACAAAAAAAAAAAAAAAAAAGAAAAAAAGAAATTAACAAATTCTCCTTGCAGTACGCCTTAGCTGTAAGGAACTAATATGTTTGGTCGGGTATTACATCAAGAATGATCTCTCTTCCCGACAATTTACCCGAAAATCAGCCAAGCATGAAGCCGTCATTGTCTGACTTTGTGAGCTTCTTTAGTCCAAATCAATCGGCGTGGTCAAGTCAAGCCGGATTTTTTCAAACGATTAATTTCAACGGATACTCTAAGTTCAGCCACATTAATTTTCCATGTTTGCATTTTGATTTCGCCATGGAACGAGATGCCACGCTTAAGGCAAAATCAGAGGGAAAGAATGATTGTGATGTTGATGGATGGTCATAGCCAAATTGCTGTCAAGACAAGACATTTGATCGTCGCACAGATTCAATACTGCTGTAGAGACTGTGTCGCATACTCCAGATAGTCATGACAGACCCATTAGTGCTCAAACTGTCAGAAACCGCTTGCGTGCCGAGAGAATAATTCTTTCTGGCCACCTCTGGCACCACGGAGGCGGCAAGTGCGTCTTGACTGGATGCGCAGACATGTCCTGAATAGATTTGGGATGCGTCTTGTCGAGGCGTGTAATGTTCACCGACGAGTCTAGATTCTGTCTGTATCGCTCAGACGGAAGAAAAAGGGTATATCGCAGACGCGGTGAGCGTTTCGCCGATGTTTGAGTGGTTAAATGCGATATATTCAGTAATGGTTTTGGAAGACATCTTTTATGGAGTAAAATCCCCTAAGTGGTACTGAATCCAAACCTCAATGCCGTTCGATAGAGACAAGATCCTCCAACTACATGTCCTTTCACTTTTCAGACGTCATAACATAGTCATCAATCAAGAAAATGCTCGGCCGCATGTTGCCAGAGTCTGTTGTTATTTGTTTAGCCTTCATTTAACCCCAACATATCTCCCATTGAGCATCTGTGGGATGAGCTGGACATGTGTAGTAGGAAACGTCAAAAACCGCAAACTAACCGCTCCCAGTTGGTCGCAGCATTAACACAAAAATGGAATAACATTCCCTTAAGGCGAATTGATGTTCTCATGAGTTCAATGCAGTGCTTTTAGTAAAATACTGAAGACACGAGTGACGTCACACAGACTTTTCTTCTTCAGCATTGTAAAGAGTACACTTGTTCCTTCACATTGATATGAACTTTTCCAAAATGTCATAGGCTTGCATAATTTAATTGTTCGTTTCTATTTTGTTAAGTATATTTTAAATTGTCACGGAATGTGTTATGGACTTCTTTATATATAAACGGCACCTACAATGTAGGAACAAAGTAGTCCTGTATTAGAATAGCTATTTGTATTGCTTGATATTTTAATTTTCATGAAGATTATTAATTAATACCTTGCCATTTTGTAGCATTTGCAGATACCGAAAGTTGGAAAACAACTATGTTCTGATAACAATTACTACAGTGTTAAATTTTGATATATCTAATTATTGTTATATATCTTATTTTTCTTTACCAATTTATATTATGCAAGTCTGAAGCAAATTAGATTACTTTTATTTAATGTTTAGCACTATAGGGTTCTCTCCCCTTACAGATTCAGCAGTGGATTTATCTATACGCTCAGATCAATGTTAATTTGATAAAATTCATAGACAAATGACTGATGGAGGGAAACAAGAGAAACTTACTGTATCCTTCAATCCCATACATTAATTATTTTATTATACAAATCATTGAAATGAATTAACTTTCAAAAAATTTGTTAAACATGCCCCAAATGTCAATTCCATGTGTGCTCGTTACAAGGCCAGCCCACCTCTTGAGTCGTTTGTACACTGTTTAAGTGTTCAGTAACATGCTTTCAACACTTCTAACCTTATTGGCTCGACAGGAGCGCCCGAGTATAGATATTCTTCAGACTTAAACTCAGGACTATCACATTTGCAATGAATTATAGCTGTAAACATTATTTTATTTCCAGCAAAGTCTGACGACTTGTTACACGTAATATAGCATTTGGAATGTAATCATTAAATATGTTATCTCTTTGAAGCAACATTACGGAGGCCAGGTAGTTGCTTGTAAGAGTGCTTGTGAAGCTACCGGAAGGGATGACTACTGTTGCCGAAACGCCCACAACACACCACAGACATGTCCATCCTTCCCCGGCGCGAACTTCTTTAAGTCTAGATGTCCAGAGGCATACAGCTATGCTTATGATGACCATAAAAGTACATTTACATGTAGAGGCAGACCGAAGACTGGTTACACTGTCAGATTTTGTTAACATTTTCAACATTAAACATTTTACAACATTGACAACATTGAAGGATCTATTTTTTTTTACTTAAATGATAAAATTATGTTGGAAAGATGTTTTTATTTAAACATGTGTTTGTCTCTCTTATGTATGTACATATAAATGAATTTAGGTCTCAACAATACATTTGAAATAACAAAACGACTTAAGAGACATTGTAGAAGCAATCGGTCGATAGTGTCTATCAACGCCGCATTGCATTTTACAAATAGTATGCATGTACGCTCGAATAAATTGTTACGAACTAATTAAGATATTAAACGATCCTAGCTGCATCTATTATCGCTTTGATGCTGCTTTTGACATCGATAGTGTCATTTTACCATATCTAAGCACAATGTGTGAGTAGAATATTAGTTATGTTCTTTTCGAATCAGGAAGTTCACTGATCAGCGTATCTGAAGAAATAACCATGGCTTGAATGTGATTAAGCTTATAGAAGACCATTTTCCAATAAAATTGCTGATGTGTAAAATCTGTGTCGTATCGATTTAGAAACCTTTTTATCAGTTTGAGTTTACATTGTATACTGTTAAATGTCCATCATCTATAGCCATTTCAGGAGGGCCTTTCAATGTATGCGATAGGAGAATAAATGTTGAGTGTTTGCTGGAGGTTGTGATGTATTTCTATAAGTTCCCTGGTAATATCGCACACTACTTTGAAGTATAATGCCGAAGAAACCACATCTGGACATATCATACTGACAACGGTCAAGGTTTACTACTGCAATAATGACAGAGAAACAGTGAGCAGTAACTAGCATGTTGAATGACACCACAGGGTACAAGGACCCAAAGTCTTCCTTATACTGGGGATATTCTGACGAGGTCCTGAAATAAATATTGATTGGAAGGAAACAAATATAAAAGGGCATTCGGATTATATAAAGTTTTCAAAGCAACTGGTATATGGTTTCTGCCCACTGCACTGTACTCTTAACTAACTTTGCCCTGGTTCATGACAGTAAAAAGAATGCCGGGAATGATGTTGCGAAAATTTACAGTCAACAGTAATTTAATAGAGGAGCTAAATTTGTGTTTCAAGGCATGTATTTTGAATCTGCTACATTTCCCTAAACATATATTTTTCACAATGCATTTATATGCCACATTTTAATGCGAATTCAATGTTTTATTTAGTTATGTATTTAATCATTTTGTTTTTGAAATGTTTTCCTATATAGAAACAAGGCAACACGAGATTCATCCGTAAAGAGTATTGAACCCCAACGTCTCCTAGAGAAACATTTTGTGCACACGAGTCAAACACTCTCGCGCACGACGGACTAGTCGTTGAGTTGCCAGAGCTAAAACAGCATAATGGCGACTTGGGCGTAAATTTGCCTCTTGCAGGCAATTTCTCATAGTTTTGGGATGGATTTCATGTCATTTAGTCTGCCGTTTAATCTCCTGTCACGCACGTGAGCAAGCCTAATAAATCACAGTTACGGAACGTCGGGATCTGTCATCAACTCTTTCAATTACGTTGTAACGTAAAACTAAATGACATATAGTCGCTTTGTGAACTCTGAAGTGAGAAGCGACCTGCTGTTGAGTGCTACCACCCATGGGCATTGCGAGAACCAGTCCTCTAGTTGGGATAGCCAAGGCATATTTGTAAAAACAACTATCAACTGTTAATGAAGTGGCGATCAAGGGACTTGGTGATAAGAAATCGACACTTGTTGCATGTGTATAATCACACAATATTGTTAATTTAATGGCACTGGAATATGGATAATTTCTCCGTCACGGATGACAGAATTTTAACATTTATTAGGGGATCGGGTACATTTTATATCTTGACGAAGTGGTCATGAAATACGATTCAATTGAATTTGCAACCATATAGTTGTACTGCCGTTCTTATTCTTTCATGGAAGAGAAGGTTTTAGAAGAGGTTGCCGAAGATTGGCAAAAGCTCGGCGTAGGTTTTGTTTTAAATTCATATACTGTCGATTCAATTTCATGAGTAAGCAGCATCAAAATAAGACTGTAATCCAGGTTTGTTATAATATATTTGGTTTTACTCAGTTTCTGAATGTGTATCAATCATAAAGGTAACATTTGATTTTTTTGAAAATTGTTACTGACTAAACTTCGGTATTGTTTTGTCAAGGAGTTCTTTTTGGAAACCATAAATTTATACTATGTGCTAAAATTAAAAGTTTAGAACGAATTTTACTTTGAAAAATCAAACAGGAAATGAACAACAATATTAACTTTTCATTGCAGTTGACATGATCCACGTTTAGCTTAATCATCTTCCATATTGCATAATACATGTACAGTAACTGAACATCGTCATCACATTTACAGACATTTTCTCCATTAATTGAATGTTAAACGAAATGTGACATGCGAATTTAAGCTTACATATATATAAAGATTACACTGAAGTACAGTCTTTATGGTACCCGACAATTTGGAGGAAACTTCTAGTCCCAACTTTGTCCGTACGTCCTTTCGTGTTCGCACCAAAACTTTGCTCAAATATAATCAATGATCACAAAACGTTGGTTATACTAATGCGATGTGCCGTGTACCAACCTATAGAGTGATTGCCCTTTGATACAATTTCCGGTCCAGAGCACAATTTTAAACTGCTTGCATTGATCTGGGTTAGTGAAAATTGGTTCATATATAGGACATACTAAGATAATGTGCAGTGTGTCAAATTTAGGTTATGCAACCCATTGATTGCATAGTTTTGCCAATTGCTGAATATTTTGTGTCAAGGACATAACCTTGCTTTCATTTAAGGTAGAATAAATAACAGATTCACAACAAGATAATGTGCAGTGTGTCAAATTTAGGTTATGCAACCCATTGATTGCATAGTTTTGCCAATTGCTGAATATTTTGTGTCAAGGACATAACCTTGCTTTCATTTAAGGTAGAATAAATAACAGATTCACAACAGTGCAACCCCTTAATTATAGAGTTAGTCCCCTTTGTTAGAATTTTAGGTCCATATCATGGTCATACAAAGAGGATGTACATGTACAATGTACCAAATTTAGTGTCTGAACACCTTTATTACAGAATTCTGCCCTTTGTTAAAATTTTATGTTCAATTAAGTCGTTTTCGGGGAGCATTCATCAGCGTCATTGATACTTTTGTTTTTTCTTATTGAGCTTGATACAGTAAAAACATTCCTAACTATGACCGCTCAAATATAGAAAGTGAAAATGTTGGTATAGAATTTAAGCAACAGCATTTACAAGTAAAAGAAGACACCCGAAAAAAAAAAAAAAAAAAAAAAAAACAAAGCAGACATGAAAACAGAATGGCACAGACAAACAACATTTCAAATCCTATCGGGAATGACATAATGCAGGAGCAACGAATAGTATTCAAAATCGGATTCGAATGCAATATCAATGAGCGAAAATGAGTGAGATTTAACAACGAATTATGGGCCTAATGCATGTCCCAATCTATAATTAAACCTTGCTTTTGATCAAAACCCAAAAACCTTCCTCACCGGAAAGGACGCTCAACTAAAGACCAGAAATGAGGCAGTTTCAAGGAAGGCGATAGGAGGAAGAAACATCTTTCTCAAAATCAGAAAATATTAAGATTATGAGTTAAGTCGTCATGAGAGTATCAGGTTGAATTCTTACGCCATGTGTTTCGTCGTTTCGGTTACGTGAAGTTTTTTTTTTATTATTATTGTTCTGCATTCCGACACAGGGAGGTAAGTCCAACTCTCTGGCACTCTTTTCCCCTCCTGACTACTTCTGTTGTTCTGGATTGGCTGCCTGGCTTCTAGTTACAACTACGGTAAAACGAATTCGCATACTAAAGTTATGGTAAGTATTACTGAAATGAAATTGAGGTTTTTTCATGTAAAACCAATTTTCATGTGGTAATACTTGCCATAACTTTATGGAGTTCCACTCATTTTAAAAAGAGACACTTCCACCATAAGAAATGTACAAGGACGTACAAACAGCAGAATGCTGCCCTTGAGAAATATGACGGCTACGGGTAAATAGACAAATTGCCGTCAAAAAGGTTTATAAATGCAGTATATTCTATCTCATTGGGTTTTCTTCTTGTCATTAAAGTCGGACAACACTTTTTAACTTAATGTGTGCACCGGAAATGCTTAAACTGAAAGAAAATTGATAAGATTTGTAAACATTATAAATGTGTATGTTTACGCTAATTAATGGATACGCCATCTTTGTTTTGGACAGGCAATCATAGAATTAACTAAGTGAGCTCTTCATGGTCCTTATTGTCGTTACCTCAGGGAATCAGTGTTCACATTTATAATGAGTCAACTATTTTGTGCGTCGCACTTTCATTGTTGTGTTCTTGAAGTATATATATGTATTATTAAACCCCATGTACATACGCATGTCATTAAAATTGTTTAGGAACAATCCAAATGTGTAACATTTGTTCCACCACCAGGCGCCGCGAGTAGTTGCACAGTTTGAACTCGAAATGTCATTATCCATATCTGGGGTAGAGAAAAACATATTGTTATGATCATAGAAACCTCCATTTCTAATATTGTTATACTCGGGAGTCATATCAAAATTACTGGACAAGGACAATTTGTATAGACTGCTGTTATCAGCAACACTGAAATTGTGGTACAGTGCAAAATAGGGTTGGTCTGAGGTTGTTATGAAGTCAAAATATACATCACTGTCTGACATTGTGAGGGCGTTGAGGTATTCTAACCCGAGCCAAAAGTCTCCATCCGGTAAACCAAAGGAAAAACGATAATCTGCCCAATCTCTCATAAAATTCACATCTCCAACATAGCGTCGTTCAAAAACAGTCCAACCACCATTGTCCATGTCACAGAAAGTCGTGATTGAATTTATTCCGTCAGGTGCTATTTCATAAGCACCATTCGTTTTGTTACCAGCAGTAAAAAGGCTCTTGCAGTCTGTCAAAAGAACGAGTTTGCAACAGTTGAAGATAAATTTGTTTTAAAAGTACCTGAACTTTGATAGTTGTAATCATTGTTGACGAGTGGAATATATAGTAAGAAAATTTGAAAAAATGTCTTTTGAAGGTAATATTTTTTTAAAAATTTGAAATAAAACACATTACATGACATCATTATATCAGTAACAGATAAATGGGGATAATATTTACTCATAGACTTTCAAAAAACTTAAATAAATATTTGCAAAAGGTAGATGTCATTTGATACTCACCCTTTATGCATCTAGACGTTTCTGTTATAAATGAATAGCCGTCTTGACAGACGCAAACACCAGCCTTACACCTAGCGGAGGTAATATGTGAGCAAACGGCATCATCGTCCACACAATGATCATCAGAAGCGAAAACTATGAAATAATAAACTAGGGAATCAGTAGTGAATGTTTAATATTTCAAAACCACTAAAGAAGAAAATGAGAAATGACCACAAGTTATATCTAAAAAGTGGTCAACTTTGACTGTTAACACTGAATGAAGACCATCATAATCTAATTAGGTGTATAATTCGATGGTGCGATATGGTTTGTATATGAATCAAATATTTTCGTTGGTGCAGGATATATTTTGATATCATGTTTCATTTTTCATTTCAAAAGTGGTCTAAATTGATCTCTAACCCTGAACACCTCAATCGAAGCAAGAATAGATCCTGATAATAGGATGTTAGGGTTTGAATATGAATCAAATCTGTCATTAGGTTAATGATATATATTGTACTACAAGGACGCATGGACGGACGCTGAAAATTATATATTAAATAACACTTCTTTAACTGATTGTGTTGTATAATTACGCTAATGCTAAAACGAAACTAAAGAGAGCCATCACAAGTAAGATTTGGTAATAGTAAATATCATATTACTTACCTAAGCAACCTTCAACCTGATTGGCACCTTGCCAGGATCCCGATAATGAGCAAGTGACGACACCACCAACCCACACGTAGCCAGTCGGACATGCGTATTCAATGGTTGAGCCGAAACCCTTTGATACCTCCGGAGTAGTTATATACGAATTATAGTATACGATGGGATCGGGACATTCTGAAGACAGATTTAAAAATAGTATACTCGGAAATAATTTGACATCTTTTTCCTTGAGTCAGTATTATAAGATATTCACTCCTTAATGTGATGCGCAATCAAACTGTATCAAACCATGAACTTTGATATCGATATTCAAATGATCAGACATTAATTATACCTTTCATGTAAAGAAAACGGAAATAGCGTCAAATAACAAATAAAGTAGAGAGACAGAGAGAGAGAGAGAGAGAGAGAGAGAGAGAGAGAGAGAGAGAGAGAGAGAGAGAGAGAGAGAGAGAGAGAGAGAGAGAGAGAGAGAGAGAGAGAGAGAGAGAGAGAGAGAGAGAGGTTTTCTTGTTTTCTTGTTTTCGTGTATTCGGATATCGTTGTGCCGTAATGTTTACGATAAATAAACAGACTTACCGAAGGCTACACATGATGTCTGTCCACTCGACAATGCAACACATAGAGAGTTAGTTGGACACACCGTGTCATTACATGGACCAGCAATCGCCTGGAACATACACAATGTAAAATGAGAGATTTAAATCTACGTTGGTTATGAATTTATAGTCTTGTATTCCGAGGAGGCCAATATTAGGTATTTAGATATTTTGATGATTAAGAATGCCAGATAATGGTTATGATATAAACCTTTCTCTGTTTAATATTTGGTTTTAAAAAACACACACAAAACAACATTTCCTACTTGATTCCTCTAGTAACATTTATCGCAATATCTCAGAATCATTATTGCGTTATCAAATCAAGTTTACAGTCTTATCGTGTTATAAAATGAAATTAACGACATTTGAATTTTAAAGCCTTTAAGCTACCGTTATTTCGTTTAAGTAATTTCAAACGTATATTTGTTCAATTAAATCGCTGGAACAGCCAGATTTTAAGTTTCGAATTCCCAAAAAATGTGAACGCCCCGTATGTTTGTTTGTTTGGTTTTATTTCTTCATGATTATGCTTTAACTGATAAGGTCATTAGCAGCAAAGAATATCATTGATTCTTATGTAACTATTTAAACTAACTGAGGAAAATTGGTTATATTGATCCCTGTCCTTTCAATAGCGCATGCTTTAGTGAGAAATTATATATATTTGAACGCAAAGTCAACGGGCATGATAACTTCGTAAACCTGTTGAGAACGAGACTTACATGTATGTACAATATTTATGTGGTGGGTGACCTTGGTGAAACAGAGGAGGTTTACTCATCCTGATGAAATTGTCTTATTCCCCTGATAGTATAGATATTACGTTTGTTTAAATGTTGCCCATGTTTCGACGATTTTGAGTTGGTTAACAAAACATTGTCTTGTTATTCCTGAAACACAGACAGGATGACTTCGAAAAAAGGTTTACAATAAACCAATGCAAACTAGAGGGCGCAGAATTCTATAGGGGTAAGATACTTAAATAAAATAGCTTTATTAACGACACCAGATTCAGATCTCATCACAGATGAGTATCACATTTATCCCTTGTTATTACAAACATCATAAATAGAAGAATTTTTAAAAATTATTTTCTAACACGAAGATAAAGATTGAAAGAAAATGCATTCTCAGTGATACGGGAGGGAAAGAAAGAGAAAGAGATGGGGCGGGGAGCTAAAAGGGATATTAGATACTTAAACCTATTGAAATGCCATACATTTATACTTGTGCTTCATTCTCGTATACATCTTTATATCATGTTCTTGTTCTTGGACATAAGACATTCCACAGTTTGTATTTGACCTACATGTTTATACAGGCCGATGGATAAATGAATTAGGACACAAAACAAAGAACGTAAGCAAATTGATCATCCATAAATAACATCTTAATTGATCGTTTGTTCAATATAACTGCGATCTAATTATCAAATATCAATACATGTGTTTGTATCTGACCTACGTCATAAATGGATTATTATTATTGGAGTGTTCTTCAAAGAATGGGTCAGTTTGATTCTGGCCGATGAGCAAATAAATTAGGAACGAGATCACAAAACAAACAACGTAAGAAAATTGATCATCCATGATTTACATCAAAATTGATCGTTTATTCAATATAACTGCGATCGAAGTATCAAATATCAATATATGTGTTTATCATTAATTTGAGAATGAAGCCGACGTCTCTCATTAATGGTTTCAAACATATTCTATTCGTAAGCGGTGAATATCTTATGTCAGTATTAGATGGTACAAGGCAAAATATCTTTCGTTATGAAGTTACATTTTAGATGGCCTATTAAATGTTTATTGTGATATCTTTACACATAAAATACTTTTAAAATGATGTATGAAATGCATAGTGTTTTATTAATAAAACACTCATTTAAATCACCAAGGGTAGTTAATGACATGGCACGGCGCGGTCGAAGGTCAGAACTTAGACAATGGAATATTAAGCAAATCACTGACATATTCAGTTATCTGTCGTTTTCTGGAAATAGTAGGTGTGTAGTTATGTTTGATGATAATTTGAAAAGTCTAAGTTTCTAATGGTTAGGAGGAACAACTACGGCGCTCAAGTGTACAGTATACACACAGAAAGATGAAGCGAACACAAACTATCTTTCGAATATGGTTGTCCCTTAAAGGTTTCTAAAGAATCAATATTGATGAGAATGACTGCAACAATGTCGCCCTTAAAAAGTTAAGAAAGACAGTGTACATATAATACGTTGTAGAGTCAGAAAGTTGTATGTTCTTCTCCTCTCAATGCTTACAGTATGGCGTCCTTAGATCTTTGATGTTATGGTGCGCATGGTATCTGAATCAATAGAGTCGTTTTTCCAGTGTGCGTTTAAAGATGTCAATTCGAAATGAATTCCAACATAATGTCGCTTGTGGACCAGTCTTTGTGACGGCGTAGTTGACGTCGTTATTCGAATAAGAGCGTTCACAACTTCAGCATTTTCTGATTTGCTGAGGTATCTGTCTTAGGCATTATTCTGTAAGTTTTGCTTATATTTCAACTAAATTTTGCATGAGTTATCATCACAAATCATTGATTCCAAAATTCATCAATTCCGACTAAATAGACCACCATCAAAGATTTTCAAATCCGAAAGCAAATATTTCTGCTTGTTTCTTGATCTTGGAAAAACTGGCTTTTTGAGTGAAAATTGCCCAAAATAAAGTACGGAGATCCCTTCTTTTTAAAGCATGAAAATTGTCCTCGAAAATCTCTCTCTCCAAACGTAAAATCTTTAAAAAGTTTGATACTAGAAGAAAGTCAAATAAAAAAATTAATCTATATAAGAACATTTTCATTTCTTAATTGCCATGAAGTTTAGTGCTCTTTTAATCAAAACTGAAAACTGAACATTTTTACATTACTTTTGTCTTAATTTCCTTCTTTGATACCTTTAACTTGTAATAAAAGATAAAAACATATTCTAAAAGAGTTTGCCATGAAAAAAAAAGCATAGAATACTTGTTATTCCGGGGGAAAATAAGAACATTATTAGAAAATAATTTTCCTGTTACACATATTCTGACGCCCGTACGGAAAAAAGTAGCGCGGACAAGTTTTTTACTTCTTTTAAAGGACTTTCTAAATTTAAAGTTTTTCGGAAATACGATAAAAAATGTGTAATACAGGATATTTTTTGGGATTCACAGAAGAATACTTCCACTCTATATATCGTAATGTACTGTAAATAATCATTCATGAATGAAACTATTCAATAGTGTCGTTCCTGTTTTATGCATATAGCTTTACGTGATAAGTACATTAATTTTCAAACTTTTTCGTGTTATTTTGTACTGTTACTTTATTTTATCTCCTTTTCTAACATTATACTATAAACATACCGAAAATACTGACACGGCAACAGAATGGAATCTTAGATAATCTGTGACAGACCATTAAAAAGTACATGGAGAATAAGACCAGACGTTCCTGAAATGTAAGTAACTTCTGCTTCATCCATAAAACTCGATATATATATGTGTGTGTGTGTGGGTGGGTGGGTGGGTGGGTGGGTGTGTGAGGGTGTGTGTGTGTGTGTGTGTTTTCATATATATATGTGTGTGTGTTTTCATATATATACACATCTTAGACTTAGGGAACTTCCGACGTAAAAACCTGCAACTTATGGGAAAGAGGGGCATGACATGAAAAATAAATATAAAGTGTATATAAGTTTAGCTGAAGCAATTTCAATCTACTTAACCACGCGAGCGACACGGACCTTATCGGGACTAATTATACCTGTAGTTTACTTTTGTGTTGATTTTTGTCTTTTGATGACCCGATTGATCAAAATGTGCGATTTTGTTTATCTAATATTTACAAATGGTTGAATTTATATATATCAGTGATGAGAAATAAATCTAGCTAGTTATTTGTTTTATTGATAAAGCTTTGAATTGATAATATCCCCTACCAAGAGTTATCTCTTATACTATGATATTATTTCAAGTGTCACAGACCAAGAAGTATATAATCATTATGTGACCTTTTTTGCGACATTACTCGACCAAGTATTTACCGAAGACAATTAGCAATGACTTTGCTATCAATCAAACAGAATGATAACACGTATTAGACTTGCTATCCTTGTTAAGATATCATGAACGAATCGTTCTTTATCTTATAATACTGCGTTCAGTTTGAAGCTAGGTAAACTTTTCAGTACTTGTTATAAAGGCGTCAAAGGTTATGATTTACAGATTAATTTTGTATATGATGCAATTGATTTTAAAAAATCGTTATGCAATTTATTTTTTTATTTCTGTACGAATTAAAGTGTCTCCTATTCGACTTGTGAACATTTAACATGTACATGTTTACTAATGAGCTGTAATGTGATTAAACAACTGAATTAAAATGTGACAGAATAAAGTATCAATGACTATCAATTACGATACTATTGTTCTAAGAAATTAATTTTCAAGTCAAATAAGTAAGAAATATATATCAAAATTGCAAAATGTTACAACAATGTTTTATTTTTTGTGTTTCAAAAACTTACATCTAAATAAAGACTAGAAGTGAATGCATTAAACGTACTAAAATTTCAGTCAAACTCATTTCTACAATACGACATGTCGGCTGTGTGAAAAGAGCAGATGGTTCTATTATGTTATGTAACAGTAAGTGTAACATAATAACATCAGCCTACCTGATCCCACTGGTCTCTCTCTAAGTACACCATCCCTGGGGCTTCGTCTGTATGGCCACCGGTAGAGGATGCAGACTCGGTTTGCAATGTACATGTCAGAGTGGATTTGTCAAAGTTGACTGATAGACAACCTGCACGGACACTACACTCCTTCAAGCATTGTTGAAGCCCCTTGGTTTTATGTATTGTCTGTTGAGAGCTGTTGAATTCGACGTCGTTCTGCTTTGTGATGACATAATTGCAGTTTCCTTTAATACAAGGCGTTATCAGTACAATTAGCTTGACTACCAATACAAACTCTGAAAGACAACTAAATTCACGTACCATATTGGTGAAGGAAGCATGGCAGTTCCTTAGAAACATGTTTTCGATATTACAATGTCCTTTTCTTTTCTGAAGTTGAAAGCCACGTTGAGTGGAGCTATGTCCAGGTAGATGATAATCAGTTCTAAGAAACGCTACGTCATTCTATTATACCATAGCCTTAGTTTGTAATTAGATGCCTTGTGTATTTCAAACGACAGATATATCGAATAGCGTAGAAACCTATCACTGGTTGTTCTTGGAGATGACAATTTTGTATAGATCTGGTCAATGCTAGTCATGATAGAACGAGTGAAGGGGCGTGTCCATATATTCAAGAGGGCGTGTCTATTGACTACTAGCACTAATTTAATAGTCGCTCAATTAAAGCACAGGGGAATTATTGACAGGAAGAATGCCACGCTCTTCAATTGGGATCGACAAGAAAGATTATTAAAGGAAATATGTCAGCAATAACGATCGGGAGGAAAATGAAATACATCATGTTTACCTACAGTAATTAGATGATATGATTGAGCTGTGTCTGCTGGCAATTTACATGTTCCAAGGGAAATATTGTTCGATATTCAATTTGAAATTGTTCAGTCGTTCTTTTCCTAGTCTTTGCCAGCGAAATTCAGCAGCAGCATATATCATATAAGGATTGCGAAATGTGATCAGCAGTTTTAAAAATGAATTGTAGAATAAAGCAAACCCCGGGTATACATCTTCCCCATTATATCGCCAACCCAGATTATCGACATAATTTAAGTAAAACCCGTTTTCCTTATAAAGCCCTGTTGGTACCGCCACCCCCTCCCCTCATATAACCATTCGCCTACCCAATTCAATCCCCCCTATCCCTCAACTGCATCGTAATTGTTGTGTTTCATTTGTTCTAAGTTATTAACAATAATCCGTTGAGGCGTAGCTTCATTGAGCAAGCTGTCAGATATAAATACGTAAATAGTGCGTAGATTAAATGTGTTTTGTAGTTGTAGTGTTTGCAAATTGTTTATTTTAAACAGATTAAAACAGATATGTGGACACCCAGCCAATGGAACTATTCACGATTATAATGAAATATTGATATTTTACAGAGAATAATCAGACAATACATGCTGTAATAATTCAATCAGATATACTTTTCGCAATAACATGCTACAAAATGCTTCATTAGGCAATATGGATTTCTAAATTTCAATTACCCAGTTTATATTATCAAAATTTGTAATTGTATCTATCGAAATGAAATATTGAGGCCTCATGGTGTGCCTTTGACCGTTCAGCATAATAACGCGTGGTCACACTTTGCTACAGTTGTTTGGGACTTTTCTGCAACCCAGACAATTGTCACTATTGATTGGACTCCATATAGTCTCGATATGTCCTTAATCAAACACTTATAGAATTAATTAGACAGAAGAGTCTAAATTAAGCAAACATTCAAATAGGCTAATGCACTCATCGAGGAATGAACAAACATTTCTGTACGACCAGTCAATGTTCTTATGAACTCCATAAAACGCAGAATTAGAGACACTTTAGATGTTCGGTGAGGGCACCCCCGATATTTGAGATACTCTGACAACTACTGTTAGTTCAACTTAGTAATCCATGGGACCAGAGATAAACAATACTGAATGTAAAGGTCAAAAGGTATGTATCGTTCAAGTGTCATGAAAAAGAAATTGCGACATTGGTGACATTACGCCAGTGTCAATACATGTATACTATCAAAACTTTAATCCTACTCGTATAATTCCTAAAAATTTATTTCAAATGGGAAATAAACAACCTTCTGCTCAAAAATCTATTTTTTTCTACAAAATTATAGTAAATTTGACCTCCTTCTCGGGAAGAAATGGGATACCCATTTTGGTAAAGCACCTAAAGACGTTTCCATCATTGTAGAGCATTTGATTCTACCATATCAGGGTGTTTAGAAAATGTTTGAAATCTGAGTCATAATGATCCCTTTTGACCCCATCAATCTGCCCCCTGGGGTCAGCCAGGTTCAATATGTGCATACCGTCAAGCCGTCATCTGTTTTTGCTCATAATTCTAACCAAATTGCAAGTGTATTCAATGGACATTTAACAAATTATGCTCAAAAATTTATTTTTTCATATATAAACTTCAGTAAAAATTTACCCCTTTCCATGGGGAAATGTGAAACCCTGGGGCCATGGAATTCACAACTTTGGTAAGATGCTTCCATCCATGAAGAGCATTTGATTTTATTGAAATCGGAGTCAATTTTACACCTTTGGTCAAGCCCCTCAGACCCCTATGGAGTGGGGACAATATAATTCACTATCTTCGTTCATTTTAGGCCAGGAAAGATTCCTCCATAATTACATTGAAATTGGTTCAGCGTTTTTTGAGAAGTCGAAACAATTAAAAGTTACGGACGCACGATTAACGACAAAGGTGATCGCAATTGGTCACAAAAAGACTTTGCCTCAAATGGTTTAAAGCGTTTTTTGAGAAGTCGAAACAATTAAAAGTTACGGACGCACGATTAACGACAAAGGTGATCGCAATTGGTCACAAAAAGACTTTGCCTCAAATGGTTTAAAGCGTTTTTTGAGAAGTCGAAACAATTAAAAGTTACGGACGCACGATTAACGACAAAGGTGATCGCAATTGGTCACAAAAAGACTTTGCCTCAAATGGTTTAAAGCGTTTTTTGAGAAGTCGAAACAATTAAAAGTTACGGACGCACGATTAACGACAAAGGTGATCGCAATTGGTCACAAAAAGACTTTGCCTCAAATGGTTTAAAGCGTTTTTTGAGAAGTCGAAACAATTAAAAGTTACGGACGCACGGTTAACGACAAAGGTGATCGCAATTGGTCACCAAAAGACTTTGCCTCAAATGGTTTAAAGCGTTTTTTGAGAATTCGAAACAATTAAAAGTTACGGACGCACGGTTAACGACAAAGGTGATCGCAATTGGTCACCAAAAGACTTTGCCTCAAATGGTTTAAAGATCTCATAAAATCTAAAGACGGATGGTCCAACATTCAAAGTGAGTTGTGGTATTTCACATTAACGCATATAGCTCATAAATATTATTTTATATTACCGTGCAGTTGAAGTTGCATATCCCAACTGAGCTTCAAACTATGGTGTCTGTTCACAGTCACAATGCGCCACTTCTATCTAAATTATGCATTCATTTTGCAATTACCCCTTACTTTTGAATATGATCGTTTGGAAGCTTTATAATGCTGATTCTTTAATAAGGTAATGAGCATTCATATATTATCTTTGAACTCTAAATGTTAATGTGTCTATCGTAGACACCTTTGAGCTATAAACTTTTCTATGTTTGAGTTACTATTGTTTCTAGAATATATATTGTAAATCTGTTTCTTTTCCCTATTTCATGTCGAACTTTCGGAAGAAGTCAAGGTTTATCGCTATACATTTGAAAATGACAATTTCGTTCCACATCTACAGTTTGAATGTCGACCATGCATGGGTCGATAATTTCCCCCGCTATTTATAGGGAGAGATTTAACGATCACGGACTCCAAGTCGATGTGAAAAAAAGTTTATACATCGTCAAACTAATTTGGACTGCATTGCGGGCACGTATTTTGTTCTACACCATTATATAGAAAACGTATATGGAAAAAAAAACATGTACAATATTTGTTCTTGACAATAAAGACTGGAGTGTTGTAACAACACACCTCAAGATATAGGTTATCATAATAGAGGACAATTTATCTTTTATTGTCGTTATATGTACCACGTGTGTATGTGTGACATTTCATCTAGTATAGAAATATTGCCAGCCTGTACATGGATATATCAATGAACATCGCGGAACATAACCACTGAACTGGGCGACAATTCCTGGGAACACAATTACATATAGAGGCATCAGGCATGTTTGGAAACATTTGGTAGAAGAGCAATGAACGAAAACGAAACAGAAAGGAAAAACTAGAAAAGCTCAAGAGGAAAAACATCATATACAAAGATATTCATCTCAAATAACGAGTCAACTGCATGAGGAGATAAACAGTAAATGCTATTCTGGTGTCTAAAGAGTGGGTCTATATAATTTATGTAGTAGGTAATTTCATATAGAGTAGGAACATATATATGTATACATATACATATGACGTGAATAATAAGTACTAATTGAATGATAAACAAAGAATATATATATATTACAGACATATTTATAAATTCGTTCTAGAAAAGTCAAAGTTCGTAACAAGTAGAGAACAGACAAAATTGTACATTAATCCACTCGTATAACAGCACGTTGACACATGTTAATGAAACCACACTGCATATATTTATGTAATGATATCATACTGCATTAACAAATATTAATATTTATTGCATCAACGCAAATATACACTGAAGCCACATGGCACTGACAAATATCTATATACTATATTGTAACATATTAGTCTAATGATACCTCATTGGTTCGACGCATATTTATATACTGATGTCACTTTGCATTGACAATTGATAATAGTATGTGCCACTTCAAGATGAAGTACAAATGTACAAATTTCGAGATACTTTTCTATTGCTCTATTGGGTTCAGAAAACTTGGACAATGTTCTGCTGTAAGAACGTCTTCGTCACGTGACTAGTGTGAGGTGTCCCATTTTATGCTGCAAACTAGTTCCTTGAAACATCGACGGGTGCTAAATTTCCGTCCCGATACAGAATTGCATTTAAATTGGCATTGATAATGACAAATACGGTTCGATTTCCACCTGGTATGCCGCCCAAAATCATCACGCTACCTCAATCATCTCCTTCATGCTGGACTACACAGCAATCTGCAGCATTCCTGCCATGGTAGATATCTAAATGCATCCAATAATTGTACATGTAACAAAATCTCGACTCGTTAGTGAACAAAATATTGCGGCGGTGGAGTATAGTCATCTACATTGTCGCCAAGCCCAATCAAGGCGATTGGTGTGATGGTGTTGCCGAAGGACGGGTCTTGTGTTCATATGTAAGGCCTTTGTGCACAC